CCTCTATTTTCCTCATCAGTTAATTGTAATAGAAAAGAAAACTATAATAAGAAAGGTGGCCGATTTCGAAAGCAGCTAACAAAATGTAAAAGTATTTAGTTTTTTTCCCTTTACTAATCCTTTCTCGCTCCTTTTATTCCTTGGTTTTTCCTTCCCCTCTTCGTTTTGCCAAACAACAGCTGTTTGAAGAGAAAAAGTTATCTAAAAAAAAAACGGAGAAATAAAAGAAAGAAAGCAAGAAAAGACAAAAGAAAATAAAGGAAAAAAAAAACAGAAAAAAAAAGTTAGTGCAAAAACTTAAGTGCTAACTGTAATATAAATTCTATCATCTTAAACAACATTTCTGTTTCCTCTTTAATTTGTTCTTCCTAAAAACAGTTTTTTTTCTATCTCTCTCAATCTTTTGCATTCTTCATTTTCCCTCCCATTATATGTTTTTTTTCTTTTGCTATAACTAAGGAGCATAAAAACAAACAGATATGGAAAGAAAGATGTGATAAAAATAAAAAAAAAAAATGTGTTTTATTAAGCAAAAGCTTTTTGAGTTAAAAAATGGATCAATTGAATGCACGTTTTTGAAAAAGAAGTGTACATATTATTGCTGCTGTTGTGTGTGTGCGCGCTCGTGTCTCTGTGTCTATGGGTGTGCTTCGGTGTTGGAATGGATGAATGTGTATATTATGTGTATGTGTTAGTGCCAAGACGAGAAAAGATGGGGCCATAACTCTAAAGTTAAACATGTGTAAAGCCGTCCCTTTTTCCTAGCTTTTTTTCTAGCATCTGCAGTTCATATGGAAAAGAAGTTGGTCACACTTGCTGCAACTCGCTGTGGACTGGTTGGGCATCATACGAACTTACACAATGGTTAAGGTTGACAAGCATTGACGACTTTTTAGGAGCCAATCTCAGTTGAATCTGCACAGTTCTTACTTCTGACTGTTATCACTGATTTCAGTGGACAAAAACTCGTTCACTTTTCATTCTTCTTGCTAATTTTTAGAATTTTTTGTTTTGTTGCAGCTGGTTATCAGTGATTCCATCCACACAGATTAGGCGACAATCATCGCGATAAAAATGATAGAGATATCAGGTTCTTCGTGATGGTGGTTTGACTATACCGTTTGGTTGCGTTGCCTTTTTTGATATTACCATCTTTTGCCAAAATCAGTATTAACCTTGTGGTTTAATTTATAATTAACATTACCAATCTGTTTAACTGCAGATTATTTGCCGTCAAATTTGAGGGCACTGTTACAACAAAGGGTTAGTACAGGGAGATGTCTCCACTGATGTCGCTTCGACTTTCAACAACACATAGATATCACCAGAAACTTTCTTCTAGTTTTTTAAAAGGAGAAAATCAAGTGAACTGGATGGACGAAGAGCTGAAAATCTTTTAATGCTATGTACAAAATAAACGCTGATTGCTAGTGGTACGTCCAATAGTTTGATATAGTGGAAAAAGACTGGGCAAACAGACCTTCAATGAAGACCTAATGTATGTGAACTCTAAAATTCTGGATAAGTCATTCGTTACACATTTAACAGGTGGAAAGCAAATGTATCTATCTAAATCTTAATGTCGCTTAATTTTATTATGGGTGGCAATTTTTTCACTGGTCTCCGTACTCAGTAAGATTACTATCAGCTTCTCAAGAACGATTAAACTTTTTAAAAAGGATTTTTTAAAATGAAATTGTAACTTATCTCTTCCACTGCAAGCACCCAGATAAAAATTGGCACAAGATGAAGGAAGAAACATTAAATTTGCCAACTAAGTTAAAATACAGCAACAGTTTCTTCTTAGCATTTTGGACTTTTATTTGCTTGGATAGGGACTAAAGCATTAAGGTGTACTGAGGTTATTTGTAGAGGCTCAGGCTTGCCATCTACATTACACAGCAATCTTTCCATATCAACGATGTTACCAACGCAAGAATTGTGCAGTAGCTGTATCACCGCTTTTAAGTGCATTATGCGAGGAGCAAAAAAATGCTGTTTTTTAAGCCTCCCCTCCCCCCATAAGGCGGAGCCTTAGAAATGAGCAGTGCTGCGCGTTGCTCCATACACAACTCCTCGCCTCCCAAACAGTGCCATCGAAACTCTACGAGCTGCCCAAGCCGAGTATCAACTAGTGACAGAAAAAATCCCAAAAGTAGGACATATTTTGTAAATGCACTGGCACTAGAACTATATCAAAATGAATCTGACAGTGTTTGGTGGCTTACTGGCAGTACTAAAGGAATGAAATAACGACAGGAGCAGAGATCCAAATTTAATTCATATTAATACTGTCGTCAGAACACGTGAAGCTATATCGTTGCCATTTTGGCAAGCGCGGCTTCAAAGCGTGATATCATTCGGTCTTCATCTCTGCTCAGACTATTGTTCTAAATATCCAAATGGCAAAAGCCATTTGATAACTCAGGGGATGGAAAGAGAAATGATAAGAAGCAAAAGCCATCAAAAGCAGTGGAGTTTACTACTGGTCTGAAAAAGATCTAGCTTTAAGTAGATCCCAGATTAATTCAGAACTAAGCTTAGGCAGATCTCCGCGAACAGTCTGAAACGTTTTTATTTTTAACATCTTAAGCTCCTTTTAGCTAAGGTTACTGGTAAGAACAGAGCCTGAAATGGATCTCAGTGCAGCCAGTATCTGCTTCACTCTCCATCAACTCCAGTATAGAACACATCCCTATACAGTTAAATGCAATAACTTCATCAGTGTACGACATCCGAACTAGCTCTGTCTGTGATAGATGAACGGAAAAAAATAAACAAAAAGCACTCCAAAACTGGCAGCGTTGAGGCTTTAGATATAGGCATTCATTTTCACTAATCGGGTTCCATTATCATGAAGATACAAGCATTTCAAGCATACCAAGTAGTTGAGGAAGTGTTCAAAATTCAATGAGTCAGCTAAAATATTTGAGTTTGGCACGTACAAACTGAATTTTTTTTTAATTCTTAATTTGTAAAAACTTCATAAAAAACTGATATTTTCCTCAATATTTAATCTTCGTACTTTTTAAACAATCAACATAATTCTGATGCTAAATCTGCTGTATTTCGTTGCTTTCACAGCTATTGCAAAGGTTAGAATCCCAATTTTCGCCTTTTCCTTGTATCCCTGCTTACGTGATAACAAGTGCGCCTTCTCACGTTCAAATAAAACTGAATGAAGTGAAGAAACAATAAAGATCATAGCACTAAAGTTCTACTGGAAAAACAAAATGAGAACAATGCTTTGTCTGAAAATCAGTCTTCTCTTTAAGATAAAATGAACCAAATCTTTAGGTACGCAGCATGTAAAATTTTAGAGAAAACGGAATATAATTTACAGCAGA